GGCAGTCCGCTTTTCTCCTCAAACTCCAGTTTTTGTTCCACCCCGGGTTTTCCGGTCTCCCGGGACCGAGGGTGGGGTGGGGCGGGGTAGGGTGGAGAACGACCGGGAGCGGGCCGGCCGGCGCGGTGGGTGATCCCGGGATGCTGGGATTTTGGGTGAGGGCGGGGTAAGATGGGGAGCGGAACCCAGACCCCATGACCCAGCCCAAGCCCCGCAGCCTGGATTGTACCCTTCCTAACTCCTCCTTTCCCAGCGGAGAGCTGGATCCCGCATCCAAGACCTCCCAACTCGACCTTGGCACTTTGTGTGTGTGGGGGGGGGGCACAGCTGGCTGGCAGCTGGATGGGGGGACACTTCTCCCGCCTCCTTCCTCTATGACTCACCCAGGAGAAGGAGGCAGGGGCTCGCAAACGACCCCCCAAACACTAAAGAGACTCCCCCAAACGTGCCTACTCAGTCATCTTCCTGTGCCACTGCCCAGCCGCAGGGGAGCCGCGATGGAAATGGGGCGACATCCCTCCTCGCCCACGCGTGCCACAGCCCACCCACGTCTCCCCTTCACACTAGTGACAGGAAAATTTCGCCAACTTTTCCAGCTTCGGTTAAGTTTTTCTGGAGTGTGGATGAGAGCGCAGGATGGGGCAGGGAGCTCTAGGGTTGCCCTGCTGGAGTCCTGAATCATCTTCTGTGTCTCCCTATTTTCCAGAGTCCCCCTCGCACCCCCGCTCCCCAACTCCCAGGAGTAGGCCCCGCCCCCCTCCTCCCAGTCCCGCCTTCCCCGCCCCCGTGCCTCCACGGCCCACCCAAGTCGCCGCCGCAGGCTCTGGCTGCAGACGGCTCCGCTTCCCCCTCCCAACCCGGGAGCCCAGTCGAGCGAGCCGCGGTGGAGGGAGGGCGGGGGGGGGGGTGTAGTTGGGAGGCGGGACACATTCCTCCCTCCTCCCCTCAGTTCATCCAGAAAGCTGGCAGAGGCGCCCGGGGGGCGGGGGGCACTGTTGGAGCGTGGGGGTCCCCGTGGCGGGGTGGAAAAGAAAGAAGAATCCAGAAACTACAGGGACAGAAAGTGACTGGGTAAATAAAATAAGGTGTGTATGGGCGGAGGAAGGGGTCAGGACACCTTAGGTTCCTGATTATCACAGCTGGCTTCCCAAGGGTTAACCCCTCGAGACCCCCGGGAACCCCTTAGTGACGTCAAGGGCGGGGTCTGTACCGCCTGGTTGGGGATGCCGTGCAGATAATTGAGGGGGGGTGTCTCCGGACCCCGCCCCCATAGGGAAAACCACCCTAATTCCGGCCCTTACAACTCCCCCGGGAAATTGCCCCGCCTTCTCCTTCCACTGGACAGTAAAGACCTATCCTATGAAGACCCCAGTTCTCCAGCCCCCAAAACCTTAAGTCCCCAGTCACTATGGGATCCCCTTTCCCTAATCCTGTCCCCAAAGCTAGCTGCCCAGGGCGGATTGTTTCGGGGTCACCGGGCCTGAAAGAGGCTTCAGAGCGGGGAGCAAGGGCAGGCAGGGTGGTCTGAGCCAGAGGAGGGGCCTCGGCCCCCAGCTCCCGTTGGGGAGGGGGTTCCAACGGGGATACATAGGCAGGCCGTGGCCAGTGGTCCCGCCCAGTCCCAGTAGGGGTCTCCCTGCGGCTGGCCCAGCTGTCCTGGTGGTCCCGAGGTCAGAGGGTCAAGACAAGGTCTCCTCGGCTCCTCCTAAGCCCCCTGACCACAGCCCTTGGGGACTCAGGAGTCCCTATTCCTTGAGAAGTCTTTCCAGGGCCTAAACGAGACGCTGGGCCCTCCCGCCCCCTTCCTAAAACAGAAGGCACTCCTTTTCCCCAGAACGCATGCACCAGCAAGCACATCTGTCACAAGACAGGTCAGGGGTTCAAGCCGAGCCGTCCCGCGCCGGTTTTGTCGCCTCACACACACCCATCTCCACCCCACCTAGGGCTCTCTCCTTAGCTGTTCCCTCCTTCCAGAAACACTGACGTCTTCCTGCCGGCGCTCAGGACACACCTGGAGTTCCCTCTCTACCACGCAGACCTCCAGCTAGCCGGCCCTCCAGCCTCTTCATCCCAACCTCATGAAAGTGAGATGTTTCTAATATATGGGAGAGGCGGAGACAGACAAAGAGATCCACGGTTGCCTGAGACAGAGACACAGAGACTGTCAGAAGGAAAAAAAAAAAAAAAGATAGAGAAAGGGAGATATAAACGAAAAAATTCATCAAACTTTCTATATCTCACCCCAGGCTCTCCCACCCTTTTTTGCCTCTGTGCCCCAGGTCTCCCTCTTGGCTGGGCAGAGTCCCTCGCAAGCAGGGCATCCCCTCGGGCCCCCTCCCCCACTGCTCCCAGGTGGTCCCCCGCCTGCCCCCCTTCTCACCTCCTTCTGGGCGCAAGGCTTGGGATGCGCGGTCCAGGGCCGGAGTCTGGGCTGGGGGGTGTGCGGTGGGGAGGGGGGGCGGACAGGGCCACGGCAGCGCAGCCTCAGTGCCACCCCCACCCCCCCTAACCTGGCCGCCAGCCCTCCCGCCGGCCCAGCCCGCCGGGCCGCGAGCCGGGACCACCCGCGAGAAGCGCAAACTTTTTTTTTCCCTTTTGCAAAAACTTTTTCTCGCTCAAGCAGCTGGCGCGCCGCAGCTCTTCCCGCTCGCCTCTCACCTCCCTTCTACTTCCCTCCCTCTTGCCGTTCTGGAGGATGAGGCGGGGTAGCTGAAAGCAAGAGAGGGGGTGCCGGGCTTATTGCACCCCCAGGACCCCCAGGATCCTCCCCCTCCCTTGAGGGACCCTATACTGCCTCACCCCCCCCCCCCCCCCCCCGCTGAACACGCTGCTGGTGGTGGGCAATAAATCCCGGCATGGATCCTTGGATCGGCTGCCCACGAAGAGCCCTCCCCCCCCCACCCCCCGAGCCAGAAAAAACTAAGAAATATATTGGGAGGTGGGGGGGCGACGAAAAAGTTCATCCGAGAAAGGATAATATTGGAGGTAGCGTCGTCGACTTTGGTTGGTGCTAACTGAGCATTCGGCCATCCTGTAGTTTATCTGCTGGCCTCACTCTTTCAATGGAACATGAAGGGGTCAGGACAGATTTGGGGTTTGGTGCAAACAAGACTGGAACACAGTTGGCTTAGAAGTGAAGGGTCTATAGAGCATAAAAGAGGAGCAGTGGCTGAGGCTCTGGGTGCAGAGTATGCTGTTCACAAGGTTACTAAGGTACCACGGGACGCGACCGAAACACTGTTCCGCGGAGAACCCCCGCTCTACTTCATCTCCAAGTTCTGGAGACTGCGGGCACCTCCGCACCTCTGTGCTGCCCGCTTTCTGCAATTCCAGGCTGTCTGCTCCCTCTGCCGGCCTTTCCGCAACATGACACTCTCTCGGCGTCTGGAAGCGGAGAAGACGGGGGAGCTGAGAGTAGGAGGCTTGACAGGTCCCCCCACCAAAGCCCAGTTAGGAGCCCGGTGGCGGGGGTTGTATGAGCCCAAAGAAACAGAAAGGCACACTAGAAGAGGCTGCTAGTGCAGAACGGTAGTGTCTGAGAGGGGAGTGTCTTGTCCCTTCGGATTCGTGTTGCTATAGTGACAGGATGCAGGGGAAGGGGCAGCTATTTTAGTCTGTCTGACCTTTCTTTATGAGAAAGGGGAGAAAACGTGGTGAGGAAAAGGAGCCCCGTCCTTTCCCGTCACCTCTCAGACAGGCCTCCCACATCCTAGCTCTGCTTCCAAGAACCACCTCCTCAGGCCTGGAGAGTTAGTAGGTTAACTGTTCAGACTGAGGGTCAAGGGGAAAAGGTGAAACTAGAAAGAGGTCTGAGGCCCTACAAATATAGGTAGTGACTGTGGGGGGACAGATAAGGAGTTCTATTTGACCCTCCCTCCCCCATATGACTTTGGCCCAAACACCAGTTATACCCAGAGGGTCAGGCAAGACCAGTCAGTGGTCCTTTCTTTCAGAGAAGCTCTTTTCACCCGGGTCTCTAGATTAGTGATTCTCCAACATTTTGACTTCAAGACCGCTTTACCCTCTTTTTTTTTTTTTTAAGATTTTATTTATTTATTTGAGAGAGAGTGAGAGAGCACAAGAAGGGGGAGGAGCAGAGGGAGAAGCAGACTCACCACTGAGCAGGGAGCCCAATGGGATGCAGGGCTCGATCCCAGGACCCCGGGATCATGACCTGAGCCAAAGGCAGATGCTTAACCGACTGAGCCACCCAGGCGCCCCTCTTTTTTTTTAAATAGGCTCCCCGCCCAATGTGGGGCTTGAACTCACAACCCTGAGATTGAGTCGTATGCTCTACCCACTGAGCCACCCCGTCACCCCGCATTTATACTCTTGAAATTTATTGAATTTTTGTTTATGTGGTTCATGTTAATTTACTATATTAGAAGTTAAAACTGAAGAATACACAGGCACATATCCCATTAACAATGATGTCAGAAAAATGATGTAATCACATGCCACATAGCCTCTGGAAAACTCCACTGTATACTTTTGAGATAATGAAAATCAAAAAGGCAAATACCATCTTAGTATTATTATGAAAATAGTTTTGATCCTGTGAACACTCCTGAAATGGTCTCAGGGACCTCCCAGGGGTCCCCAGACCTCACCTTGCAAACTATCCTCTGGACTATCACCCCAGCCCTTCTTTATAACTCATACTTGTTGATTTTCCCCCTCATTTTTTTAGGAAAGGATAAACATTAGTCTCCCCGGTGGGTCCTGTCCCCCACACTGGGAAAAACCAGGGAACTTCCTAGGCTCAGTACCCCTCTCTCCCGGCTCCCATTTCTGGGGCTCTCCTAACCACCTCCTCTTAGCCCCTTGCCCATCTCCTTCTTGACCTTCCCTGAAAGCTCTTCCACAGTTCCTACCCTGGGCCAGCCTGGTTCCCCTGTCCCAAGCCTGCTTCCCTCACTTGAGGACTTTCTCTTCTTGCGAGAGACTAAGTAATTTTTCTCTGCCTTCTCCTTCCCTCCCTCCACCCCTCCCTCACCTCTGCCACCTTCTCAGGGGGCTTAGGTCAGAAATCAAGCTTTCTGGGGAGACTCCTTTAGAGAACACACTTTCCCCATCTCCCCACACATCAACCAGCCTGGAATAGGCAAGAGTCTGGACGGACAAGTGCCCATTTGGGTCCCCTAGGGGTCACCCCGGTCATCCTGCCACCCCACCCATTAGGTGGGGGTGTGGATCAGGCAATGTCTCCCACCACAGATGCCCTTTGCCTGGGAACCCCCAACTGATCTCTTTACTCCAAATCCCCAGGTCCTCTCGCTAGCTGCAGCCACAGGCCTCCACCACCATATCGGGCACATCTGTCTTGACCACATTGCCATCCCGGTCCAGGTAGAGGAGAGACAGAGGCCTTCGGGCAGTAGGGACACAGCAGGAAGTCCCCAAGGGCCAAGGGTTGTTGGCCTTGAGGAGGCTGAAGACAGCCGAATGGAAGGAGGCAGCAATGCCGGGGCTGCCAGCCAGGTGCGGGGGGCACTGTCCACTGCAGTAATTTAGCTGGTACCCCTCGGGCTGCAGGATCCAGTCCCGCCATCCCAGTTCCTGGAAGTCCACATAATGGTCTCGCCGGCAACATAAGGGGGTCTCAGGCTCACAGGTGGGGGTCCTCCTCCTGGCCCGGCCGGCTCCAGGCTCACTGGGCCGGATCTTAAGCTCCAGGAAGGGCCGCTGGTCTCCCGCCGTGTCCAGGAGCTGCGGAGGCTGTTGGGCAGAGGTGGTGTTGCCTTCTAGGAGTCTGCAGTTCAGCTGGAGTTTCAGGACAGGGGACTCCTCACCCCTCAAGCCGCGAGGGGGCAGAGTGAGGGCGTGCCAGCCCGGGGCTGTGGTCTGGTGCTCCGCCAGGAGGGTGCGCGACCCTTGGTGCCCGCTGCCTGGACTCCATCGGAAGATCCTCAAGTAAAGAGTGCCAGGAAGGGTGGGGGACACGTGCAGCCAGAGGCGAGCGTGGTACAGGTGGTGGGACTGGGCTGTGGACAGGTGGAAGGTGAGCACGGAGCTGCAGGCTGAGGTGGAGGAACCTGCCAGAGAGATGGAGAAGGGACGGAGGAACGTGAGCAGGGATGGAGCTCCCCTCTGAGGCCCCTGCAAGCCCCGCCCGCTGCTCTCCCTAGCCCCTGTAGAAGACGCGGGGACTGCCTTGTGTCCTCCGTCCTCCGAAACCCGTCCCTGCCTCTTCTGTCCTCCCTCCTCCCACACCCGCTCCGTCTGCCTTTTCTGTCAGGGTCCCCCTCAGCCTCCCTCTCCCTGTCTGCTCTCTGCCTGCCTCTCTCTTAACGCACCTGTGATGGTAGCAAAGCTGATGACCTCCTCCCCATTTGGTGGAGCCACACTTCCTGGCTGCAGTCTCCGGAGGGCTCTGGCCAGCGCCGCCTGGGGTGGAGGGTGAGTTATTCTGGGACGACTGGCCAGGTGCAGCCCCTCCAAGATCTGCTGCTTGGCTAGCTCCAGGACCAGAGCTCGTTCTGCCTGGGGCGCCGGCGTGGGGCCTCCGCAGGAGGGACATGCAGACCCTGCCCCCTGTGCCCACAACAGTGCCCACAGCAGCACCAGCTGGGGCTGGACGTCAGGGAGCCCCATGCTCCTGGTGAACAGCCCTGGGTTGGGTCGGGAGCCTCAGACGGCAGTTGCTCCTTCTGTTGATCTGATTGCGGGGAAGCCAATGAGGGCAGAGCAGCAGACCGCCGTGCCACACCTACCCTCAGCCAAGGGTAGAGCCACCTGTCTTCTATGGCCCGGGACTCAGGAAGGCTGTACGCGGATGGTCCAATGGGTGGCTGTGTTTAGCGCAGTCTGCCAGTTTGACCCTCACAGCTCATGGCTGGTTACCGACTTGGGCCTCTTTAGAGCCGAAACCTGGGGCTCCCCCACTTAGTGGTCAGCCAGCAGACCTACCCTCTGAGCCCTGGGATTGGCCGGCCGTGCTGCCCATCAGGGCCCTGACGGGGGTGGAGGTCCCCCCCACCCTACCCGGGAGCTCGGGTTTCACCATCTGGCCTGGTCACTGAGTTTGAGGTAGGTGTAAGGGGGTGGGGAGGGGGGCAATGTGGACATGCATGATGCAAGAAAGAGAATGATTTCACATGCTCAGTCCCCAAGGTCTGGGGCTCGGGGGAGGGACTCATAGGGGCAAGGTGGGGAGGGCAATTTCCTCCCATACCTCTGGTCCTTCCAGCTTACCCAGACACCTCTGCTGCAGCCGTTCTTATGAGGCAGCTGTTGAGTTCCACTGGTTATTTCTCCAGGGTCTCTGGGCGGGAGGGAGAACTCTGGTCTCTTTCTTCCTAGCAACAGGGCTGGGACGGGGGTGGGGGGGGCGCGGAGAGGAATGGAGTCCTCCTGCCCAGGCCAAGGTGGCAGTGCCATGGGGCACGGAAGTCACCTCCTGACCTTGCCTATGCTGGCTGCCCAGAGTCCAGTTGGACTGGAGCACAACGTGGAGGGGGGCTGGAGCACGGTGGGGGTGGGGGGCACGTAACTGCGATGTCTGGGGAAACCCAGAGGGGTAGGGGTGGCGGTGATGCAATCTTACAGCAGGGCAGAGTCCATCAAGGCTGACAGAAGGGCATGGGACTTGGGAGGGCCCATACCCAGCTGCTGGCTCTCTTTAAGGGGACTGTGAGAGTTACCTAAATTCGGGGCATCCTAGAAGTGATGCAAGGCCTCTGTGAAAGAGGGCGGGAAATGGGAGGTCTAAGGACTTTGAAGAGCGGAGCAAGATGAGTGCAGTGACCTTAGTTCCAATCCCAGCCCTCCTTACCACACTTCCTTGCTGACTAAATGGGAGGGCCATGGCCCCTCCACCTCGAACTTATAAAGGTAGACTTCAGGTTAGCCTTTCTCCTTATGCCCCAGTTGCTTCAAGAAGCTAGAAGGAAGTGAGTGTGATTTGGAAATGTGCCCCGGCTCTGTTGTATTAACCTCCCGCCTATGGAGCCAGTGGGGACTGTCAAGAGGCTACTAGGTCTGGCACCAGGGGCAGAAAGTGGTGCTTCGGGGGCAGGGCCTCAGTACCGCCAGTGTCCACCATGTGGCAGTGTAGTGCCACCGGACGGCAGGGGGCTTAGGGCGGAGCAGCTTCCCAGGGAATGGGCTGCTCTGAGGAATGGGGAGATGCAGAGCGCTTTCCAGCCTCTCACTCTGGGGACCCCGCCTTTCCTACAGAAAACACAGAAGCCGGTCCCCGTGCTCTCCCCTCTCGCCCCTACCAGAGAGCAGAAGCTGTCTTCAGGCCCCACATTCCTTCTACCTTTGGTTTTAGACCTTGTCGCATTGACACGTGCCAATGGAACCTGATGACGGGCGCCAGGCTCTTCCTAGAAACTCAGGGCACTGTGCGGGGGGGGGGGGGGGGGGGGAGGAGAGAAGGGACTAGGAGACTTCTAGACCCTTCTGTTCTTCCTACGTTTCTCCCCGGGCGGAAACATATTTAAGCCCCTCTGTCCAGTTCTCTCCCCCCACTCTGAGCAACCTCTCTGTTGGTTGAGGCTGGTGAGTGACAGCCCTCTACCGCTGGGGTCTGGAACATCGAACTGCAAAGAAGTTTCTGCCCATGGTGGTGTCTCAGAGGGTTTACCCGTCGGGGCCAGGAGACAGAGTCAAGAGAAGCAGCACCAAGTGGCTGCAGGAGTCGCTGACCCCTCTTCTCCCCTACTCTCTATCAGGTGCCCCCAATTTTCGGCTCTTCCTACCCTCTTGCTGCTGTGCCTGGCCTGGCCCTACCTCCCCACTGACACTTACGTCAGAACCCAGCTATAAATATGTTCTTAGCATCTTAGTCACTTTCCCCAAGAAGTGCTCCCAGGTTATAAATACCCCAGCCATCTGCCTCACAGGCCCGCCCTACCACCAACCTGGTTGGGTGCTGGGGGGAAGGGACAGGCTTGGGGGCGGGTAAGAAAGGAGAAGAAGCCCGAGTGATTATCTTGCCCACATGAGAAAAGCCTGACACAGTCTAGAGTTAGGGGCCAAGAGGATCTGGAAGCAAAGGTTTGGAAGAAGACAGACCCACTCTTTCCCCTTTTAACAAAAGGCAGAGCCAAAAAGAAAGGAAGTTAATACCGGTTCTGTATTTATTTAAAAATTTGTTGTTTTGTTCATCACGGATTTTTTTCGCATTCATTTTGCTGTTTTAAAAACATTGCATTGGCTTAGCCCTGACCAGCTTCCCAGGGAATGGGCTGCTTTATTAACCTCAATGGATGAATTTCTTGGCAACCCCTTACAATTTTGCCCCCAAAGGGACTGCCTTACTTCACCTCACCTTAGTCTTGGCCCTGGGGACTGAAGCTGGAGTTGGAGGGAGAGAGGTCAGATCTAGGGGAGGGGTGGCTTATAGGGAGGGGAGACACTGTGGAAGGGGAAGGAAGGGGCACATAAGACTTCCTTAGATGTTCTCCTTAGATGAAGATCTCCTCAAGGCAAAAGTGGCATGACTTCTGTGGGTTGCTCAGGAAGCCCCACAGCTCAGATCTGCAGGTCTCCTAAGGAGACCCCTTTCAGACTTTCTCCTCTGGGGTTCCTCTTCCAGGGACCTCAGACCCTGGGAGGAGGAGGTTATACGTTGAGCAAACACAGACATCACGTTACCCAAAAGACACGTGAGTTTTGCGCAAACTCGGCCTTGGGCTGCAGACAATATCGACCCCATGGTTCAGGGCTGTCTAACCAAAGGGAGGGGATGATGGGGAAAGAAGGGCAAAGGTCTAGAGAGGACCCAGTCTCAGAGCAAATACCCCCCCTCCTCATTCCATTCCTTCTTTCCCTTCTCCCTGTCCCATGCAAGTGGCCCTTGGCCAGTTCCAGTTTCCAGGCAGGTCTCCTGGATGGAGCCCTGGGGGTCAGTGAGGGAAGGCTGCCAGCTCTGAGCCGTGCCTCTGCTTCCCCCCACATGTGTGCTCCCAGGATGTCAGCCTACTTGCTGACTGAGCAATGATCTGTCTCATCTCTTGGAGTGAGTATGGAGGGAGGAGAAGAACAGATAAAACCTAAGTCTTTATTAGCTCTGAGACCAGCAAAGATGGTTCTGGGGGTAGGAGGAGGCCTAAGAAAGAAGACGAGGAAGCCTAGGAAAGGAAGAAGCACGAAGTGTGGGATAGACACAGTAGCTCGGCTCTGAGGAGCCTGTGTGAGAGAGAGCAGAAGTGGGCCAGGCAGGTAGACTCTGTGTCATCCTTGGTGTCAGCCAGGGTCCTGGCAAGAGGCGAAAGAACCATTCAGTTGTCTGTGTTTGCATCACCAAGAAGACTTAATGAAGACCTTATTTATGGAGGTGTAGGCAGGGATAAGGGAACCAAGGAGGCATGTTGAGGCCCCCAGGGACTAGCAAGAGTGGAAAGCCCTCACAACCCCTAGTGCAGAAGCAGTGATGTCAGAACCTGGGAAGAACTGGGGCCAGAGGGGAGCCAGATAGGAGTTGTAGGGACAGACCACAGCCACAGTCATACAGACACATGGCACCTAGGCAGAGGGAACAGGAATAAGAAATATCCTGACCTCTGTCTCCTCCTATCCTTTGATCTCCTGCCTGTGTCTGCCCTTAGTCAAATTCAGCAGGAAGCCAGGGGCCAAAGGAGCTCAGGTGAGTCAGCCCTTAAGGGGGGAGAACAGGGCAGAGAAGGACAAAGAATGGATGAGGGTGTGCCAAGAGAGCCTTAGCAGCCCACCAGCGCAAATAAGAAAGGGGCTCAAGATACAGAGAAGAGTAACTTTGGACAGCCGTGATCTAATCTCCAATGAATCCAAGGAAGGGGCTCTCTGGTAATCCAGAAAATCAGGGGAAGGGGCTGGGTCAGCTCATCCTGGAGGGACAGCCATCAGGTGGGAAGAGCGGGGAAGTACAGTGGGTTATGGGATGGATTAAGGGTGGGCTATGGGTGGCTTGGCCTGGGAACTAGATGGCACTGCTCACAGCTGCAGGTGGATCAGAGTCCCTGGGTGGCGGTTGAGCCTGTGAGGCTTGCTGGATAGACTATGCCCTAGGAGAGAGACTGGTGGTCATGAAGATGGTATAGTGACTCTCCTTAGATGAAGATCCCCTCAAGCCACCGTTGGGATAATTTCCATAGGTTGCTCAGGAAGGAGCCCTCCTTCTGGAGAGAGGCAGTAATGGGGCCATTCCCTCCTCTCAAGGAAGGGTACTACTGTGAGGGCATGTTTGCCTACCCCGTGTTGGGCTGCCCATCCACACATGGACTAACTACACCCACAGGCCTCGACCACCATGTCAGGTATGTCAGTCTTGACGATGTTGCTGTCCCTGTCGTAGTAGAGCAGAGAGAGGGGGCGCCGGGCCGTGGGCACACAGCATGAGCCCCCTCCCGCAGTACCTGCAGCTGTGTTGGCCTTGAGAAGGTTGAGCACTGCAGTGTGGAAGGAGGCAGCAATGCCAGGCATGCCTGCCACGTGGATTGGGCACTGCCCTGTGCAGAAGTTCATTGCATAGCCTTCAGGCTGGATGATCCAGTCGTGCCAGCCAATCTCACGGAAGTCCACAAAGAACTCTTGTCGACAGCACATCCTGGACCCACCCTGGCAGTTGATGCCTCGCCGGTGAACCCGGTGCTTGCCCCCAACTTTCACCTTGGCTGCCACAAAAGGCCTATGGGCAGCCCCACCCAGTATGATTGAGTTCTGGGCTCCTTGGCCTTCAGGTACCAGTTCCAGGGTCAGGTGCCCTTGGCTGCAGGCAGCCTGAGCTTCAGGCCCCAGGAAGAGCTGGTGCCAGCCACTGGCATCCACCTCCAGCAGGTGCTGAGTGGCCAAGGTGAGGTTGGTGTCACGTGAGCCTAGCACAAGGATCCTCAGCTTCAAAGTCCAGGTGGTATTGGGAGGGATCTGCACAAAGAGCATGAGGCTGACCTGCTGGATCTCCATCCCACTAGCAGTTCTATCAGAGGAGAAGTGGAAATCAAGACGAGTCTGGTTGATGTTGGAGAGGCCTGTGGACACAAGAAGCCCCAGTCACCGTGGCCTTCTGAGTAT